ACCTAGTGGGATTTCTGATGCTTCATGCTGCCAGGCATGTGTATCATGTTGCTCTTGTGTGGCCTTGTATTCAAATTTTAGAAATAGATTGTGCCAGATACAATAATTATAATATACCTCATTTATTCGAATACATGGGCGTTTATTGTTCAGACGGTTTTTGAGGAGCCAACGTTTACTGGTAAATGTATAGTCTACAATGCATAATTAATGTTAACAATTGTTTTTGCATGGCTTATAAATCCCTAATTAGCAGTTAATTTAATTCAACTACGGAAAAACATTGATTACTTCAATGTTTAAAATATTGCTTCCATTTCATCTGTCCATATAGAGACAATTCGCTCCGAGGCGTTTATTCCAAATGACCTTTTTTGGGGGGTGGGGGAGGGTGTCTTTATTCGTGGGGGCGTTTGTTGAAAAGAGGGCATTTACTTGAGTAAATACTGTGTAATTGTTAATTGTTTTGTAAAGATGATGGATCACAATATGTTAGCCCATAAATTATTATGCATGTTTTCTCTTTAAATTGTGTTTGGTTCATGTTTTTTAATTGTCTGCTCGTTATGTTTATTTTGTGATAAATAAAGTCCTCCCTCCATCCCTGGAACACTTTCGGGAGATTTGGAGCGACGCCCACTTTTTTTCGTCGGGGACATTGCACCCCCTCCTCGGGGACCTGGGATCCCTCGTCGGGCAAATCCTGGCGCCACCACTGTTTATAAATTGTGTAAGTGTTTATTAGCGTGGGCTTTTATGTGCCTCGCATGACTCGCACTGTTGGTACACGTCGCGCATGAATTACCGTCATGACTCGCATGAATTGCATGCCTCGCTGGATGACTCGCTGGCTCGCTGGCTCGCACTTTGGCAACCCAAAATGGTTTACGCAGAGGCCAAGACACAGTCCATAATCCCAAACAATTTGTAATGTCAAGCCAACATCATAATAAATAGGCTATTCATAGTTTCTCATTAGGCCTACTGTCCTATTTTTCATTCTTGTTTTACAGGAGAATTGACAAACGCTTAAGTCAAAATTATAAAAGGTCTATAAGTACAGTGGTTTATTCTGGAATTAAAGCAAAAGTCAGATGAAAAAATAGGCCTATAATACGTAAAAAGGTAACGTTATGAAAATGGTTCTCATCCACTATGTAAAAGGCCTACTAAAGGGGAAAAAAAAAACCACTACACAGAAAAAATTAAAAATAAAATCAATACTGGGTAGATTAGGCCAAAAAAAAGGTTTGTTTGCCCTCCTCCACCTGCCCCTAACTCACTGAAAAAATAGGGGCGAAAAAAAAAACTTTAAAAAAGTTGGGTTTTTTTTAGCTTTTTTCTTTACAAATTAAAAAAAATGTGAGTAAATTATTTTTATTTTTGCCAGATGCCCTCCAAATTAGTCTAAAGTTGTTGTCTGATGTAAGATATTGCCATTCTAGGCCTTTGTGGGCTATTTTTATTCCATCTGATGAGTATTTTTTTTTTAAATAAACTTTTTCCACCCGCCCCTATTTATCATTTTTTTTTTAAAAGAAGGGCAAACAAACAATTTACTTTATTTGGCCTTATTCGTTGTTTTCAAAAAGGCAAAAAACTTGGCATTTTTTTTTTTTGTAACTAAACCCGACCCCTTGGATATTGTTTGGTCCCACAAAGCGACAACGCAAACCTACGACTAAAACACCTGTGCTTGTGAAACGTGCCGTGCGCCTGCTGGCCGTGCAAGGTCATGTTCATGATTGATACGTCAGTGTTAAATTTGAAAATCCGAAGGATCCGTTATAAAACAGTATTCACGTGTACATTAATTTGAAAAAAATAAATAAATAAAGCTGGCACTGACATTCGAAACTTCGTAATTGTTCTCAAATTTGAGCTGCGGCCTGATGACAATCACTAAAGTATACCAAGTTACCGTATAACCTCAGTACATGTTGCGTATACACTAGACCACTTTGCAATCAGTACGCATTTAAATTCATTGTGTGAGGATTTGAGTGCAGATACATAGTTCTAACGAACTACATCCTGTCTTTTCAGTGTTTAAGTAATAATTAATAACTTCCAGGGTGCGCGCATCAATGCTATCTGTTGACCTAATACTCAAATCGGCTTGATTTACCAAGCTCTCGACAACAAGACGTTGGCATTTATTAAGTATGAACCTACACCCCGCTACACTATGACTCGACAACCTAGATTGTATTTCTTTTGTTTATCTGCGTTCATGATCGGTTTTATAATTGCGAGCTTGATACAGTTTTACTCTGGTAGAGATTTCAAACGGAACTTTGAAATGGCTAACTCCGTAGGTGTCAAGTCGTCTCAGCATCTGCAGAGGGGTGTCAATACAAACCACGTGGCACTTAAAAATGGAAGTGGAATTCAAGCAGGTACGCAATATTTTAACTTTATTCAACTTTTTAAATAAGGCCTATATTTTTATTTAATTTTTTAACTTTTATGATCAGGAGGGTGCGTCTTGTTCTTTTACACCACTAACTACTCTACCATCATCCTGATCGTAAACAGTTGTGGCCCAGGATTTGCCCAAAGGAGTGGAGGGGTGGGGCTGTTTGACAGGGGCTGAAAATTACCAGTAGCTTAGAATTAGATTAGTCCAATCTAAGCACGTCGTATGCTCCACGGGTGCCACTACTGCTCACAGACAGCGGACGATAAACGTGAAGGGAAATTTATGGCGAGCGGAGTTGTCATTTAATCGTAAATAGAGATATCTTAGTTTTAAATAGAGATATCCTAGTTTTTAATAGAGTATCTTAGTTTTTAATAGAGATATCTTAGTTTTAACTAAGATATCTCTATTAATAGAGATATCTTAGTTTTAAATAGATATCTATATTTAAAACTAAGATATCTCTATTCAAAACTAAGATATCTCTATTTTCATTGTAAATAGAAATATCTAAGTTTTGAATAGAGATATCTTAGTTTTAAATAGAGATATCTTAGTTTTAAATAGAGATATTTTAGTTTTAAATAGGGATATCTTAGTTTTAAATAGAGATATCTTAGTTTTAAATAGAGATAGGCCTATCTTAGTTTTAAATAGATACCGTACCTTAGTTTTAAATAGAGATATCTCTTTTAACAGAGATAGGCCTATCTCTATTAATAGAGATATATCTATCTAAAACTAAGACGTCTCTTTAAAACTAAGTTATCTCTATTTACGATTAAATGACAACTCGGCTCGCCATAGAAATTTCTGTTAACCGCTGTATCTCATGGGGATGTGTTCATTGACTTTCCCCTGGTCTGGTGTTCCACCAAACATTTGCACTTAGTGTTTGCAAATAATACTGTATAGGATGAAATAGATAAATTGACCGGTACCAATTATGTGTCATAGCCTAATGATGGCGTAAAACAATTTGGTTGTTTTCTTAAATAAAATATTATTTCGGGTTTTTTTATTCGATAGAAAGCGTAAGCCCAAAGTCAAAGACTAACACAAACACCAACACAGCATTGAAAAAAGACTTTCAAGAGGTCCGTGTGCTCTGTTGGGTCATGACATCACCTAGTACCTTGATGTCTAGAGCTGTTCACGTGCGTAACACATGGGGACGGCGTTGTAACGTCACGCTTTTTATGAGCACGGAGAGTAATGCTAGCTTCCCGTCAATCAGTCTCCCAGTAAAAGAAGGCTACGATTTTATTTGGGGTAAAACCAGAGAAGCGTTCCGATATATCTACCAACACCATTTAAATGATGCTGATTGGTTTTTGAAGGCTGATGACGATACTTACGTCATCGTCGATAACCTCCGATATTTTCTATCCGATAAAAGTAATTCAGAACCAGTGTTTTATGGACATAATTTTAAGCTTAACAGCATAGAATACATGAGTGGTGGTGCTGGATACGTTTTAAGCAAAGAAGCTTTGAAGAGATTTGTAAGCGTCATGGACGATCGTGAAGTGTGTACAGTTAATGTTAAAAAGAGATCTGAGGATTTTGAGATGGGACGTTGCCTTAAAAATGTTGGAGTTATAGCCGGTGATTCACGGGATAATCTTAATCGGACAAGATTCTTTCCATTCCAATTGGAACTACTCCTAAACAAAGGAAGTCTTCCAAAAGACATGTGGTACTGGAAATATGTAATCTACAAACCGACTGAGGTATAGAAAACTGGCAATTTTTAACGTTAAAGAAGGGAAATCTGCGAGTGTAAAAAAAGTTGCCTCAGTTGGAATTGAACCCCACGCAAGGCATTTGAGTTTATCTCTATTAAGCGCCATGCTTTGTTTTAAAAAGTCTTTTCGGAGATTTCGTCTTTCTGTGTTTAAAATCGGTGTTAGATCGAGAAAGCGCTATTCTATTACGCATGTTCAAAAGAGTGTGAAAGATCAGTTGTTGCCAGAATCAAATCCCAGAAGGAGCACACTCGCAGATTCCTCTTTAAATTTTAAAATTTATATATAAAAACATTACCGCATTAGACAGTTTGGAGTTTATTTTTCGTATAGAGAGAAGCTTATTATAATCATTCATTAATACATATTCATTATTACATTTATTTATTATTATACATACATATACCTATTACACCTATTTGTTTAGGCCTAACTATTTATTCTTCCATGTGCAGGGAGAAGAGTGTTGTTCTGATTACCTCATTAGTATCCACTACGTTGATCCGAAAGCAATGCACTACCTGGAATTTTTGGTTTATAACTTGCGCGCAGGAGTGCAACTCGCTGGTTAAGACTCCCAGTGACCAAGTAAAACGCCTTTTCGATGTTTGTAAAGTCAGTCATTGATTTACGGTTAGGCCTAAACAGTACGTAACTCTTCCACCAGGAAGGAGGTTACAAGATTGGTTCACTAGAGCGGTAATTTTTACCTTTTTTAAACACAAGCAAAACATTACGGTATGCCTCAGATTTTGGTATGTATATATTCAAAGAGACCTATGCAACAGGTTGCGGCTGTCATACTACACGCTTTGATTGAAGCAAAAGGGAGAGATGAAGCATACAAAATCCGCTTGCTTTTGCGTCAATAAAGAGCTACAAGATGGTCAGCTGCGGATGGTAATTTCAAAAGGCATGCTGATTAATACGGATGAATTCAACAATAATAATGACATAAAGTAATGAGATAGCCACACTGACAAAAAATAAGACTAAATCAACTTGTAAAGGCTAATACATTAGGACTTAAAATAAGAGACAATGAGATTATGTACTCAGCTAGACACTGACTGCCTAATATTTATAGAAATTGTACATTTTAATGATAAATATTAGAGCTACACGAAGGTATATGATTATGTATTAATTGAGTTACTCTATAGGATTGTACTGCTTATGTATTCAGGTAGGCAATTAACAAAAGTGTACATTTTCATTCGAACTCTCCTTGCAAAAAAACATCATTCGACGTGACAGCCGAATTCATGTGAAGATACATGTCAGGTGTTGTTCTTGGGCCTAAATGCTAATGCTTAACGAAAGCTCGTTTACTTGTCGGGAGTCCAGAGCACGATCTTACTTATCTTCTTCCTCTTAACGTGTTCCGTCTTGCTTTTCCTCTCTTTCATTAACAATTAGGAATGCAATGATGTTTTTTGGGGTTAATTGTAAATTTAACAAATAAATAGGCCTAAGGCTTATATTAGTTTTAAAATGTCGTTTGAAGATATGATTTGCTTGATCTACTACCCCATATTGAACAGATAGGTCACGGCGGAATGAAATACCGTACCTGTACAAGACTAACGTATCGTTTGCTGATAAAAGCGTAATTCGTCAAACTCTGAAAGTCGCTATGTCCGTATCGTTTGCTTGAAATAATGATGCATCACAATTATAACGGAATGCAAGCCCAAGGTATTGTGTCGTTTGCTGGAACAGAGAAAAGCGTCATATCGGCACAATCGTAGAAAACATCATATCTAGAGTATCGTGTCGTGATCTTCCGACTCTTTTCCCTCGTTCTTTCTTGATTCATCATCTGACTCCAGTTTACGATTTGGATTATTGTCACGAACCCAGTGTCGAAGAAACGACCGCATTGCTCTTGCCCCTTGCTGGAAAACACAAATGTATAAACGCAATATCAAAAATAGATAGAAAGTTATTTAGTTTAAGTTTAAAAAAAATGAAAATCAAATATTATATATATATACACTCTCCGTATGAGAATGACACAACACAGATCAGCTATCAGAACATCTAAGCTTGATCAACCAGTAGCCGAACATTTCAATTCAGCTGGTCATTCAATTTCAAATTTCAGAGTGATTGCAATTGACCATAATGCCAATTGGAGCGACAAAAATCGCAAAGATAAAGAGAATCACTGGGAACTTT